GGCACTCAACGCAGCCGTAAATATCGCCGATTCGTGTGACGAGTGGTCCCAAAGAGCGGATCCATTGGTCGCTATTTCGCCATAAATTGCAGTAAATTTGCCGCAAATGAAGACATTTGTGTCGAAAAGTGTGCAAAACTGTTGAAACGCTTCCATATCTGTTGCGTATTCCTCGGCAGTCAATGGTCTCAATGTGTGAACACTTTATGGCAATTGTGGTCAACATTTTGGTGTCAATTGTCTTCGCATTAAATGTCACTAAATTAATGAATCGGTCGTTGATATCGATGTCGACAACACTCTCGAAGACAGTCTTCCGGAACCGTTTGGACACACATTCGTAACGGAATCGGTCGTCGAATGACAGATAAGACACCAATACTTGTGACAACTCATCACCGAATCTGTCCATTGAGTTCTTCGGGTAATTCTTTGACTAAAAATGTTTAACAAAAAACGATTAAAACTCAATAAACAGTGAATTGTTTGTCCAAAACCTGTCGTGTATTGTCTTCGCGGGTGTTATTTGTGATCACATGTGATGTCCTCTTCGGTATCAATGGTTGTGCCATATCTTGGGATCCAATGAAGTGATTGCGTGAATGAAATTATATTTGAATATTGTTTTCGTCACTTTATTTGTGATATTATTTTAAACGACTATTTATTCATCTATTTTAACCATAAATAAAGTTTTAATTCAGTAAAAACACTGTTTTTTCTGTTAATCCTAATCACCTGTTAATCATCATCTGTTAATCTAATGGCAAACAAATTATATAAAATATTTTATAATTATTTTGTAATAATCTAAATATAAATGTAAATGTTATTTTATTGTTGAAAATAAGTTTTTAAATGTCATTAAATAATTTACTTTAATTGCAATGAACCATTTCTTACATTTATTTTTCATTTTTATTTAGCATAAACATAATTAACATAATTTAATAAATTGATTTTGGTATAACGTAAAAACCATTATTTCATATGCAAGTTAAAATATTTTATTGGATTAAATTAAAAAAAATAATGATATTTAATAAATAGACTAATTAAAGCATTATGGTAAATAAGAAATTGTATAAATATTTAAAGGACAAAGGGCATTTGAGTAAAATGTGTCAGATCCTGGATAAGTTGTTGAATGTTTTGCTGTCTGAGCGCAGGTGAGGGCAAATTACCGATCGCTTCATTCAATTTGTTGAACTCGGGTGTTAAAAAGGCAATGAGCTAAAACATAGCAAAAATATAGTATTGTTAATTAAATTAACAAATATATTACACACTAATAAAAATAATTTAAATAAAACTCAGTTAACTCACCTTATCGTACCAGGCATTCAAAACGGGGTGATTTTGTAACATTCTCATACCGCCAACCTTTGACTTCTCGACGGCGGCCAACACTCGACTCTCCATTGTTTTCAATCGGTTGATAAGGTTGTGCTCATTGCCGGTGACCGACAGGGGTTTAACGTCCCGGAGTTCAGACACGTGTTCCAGCATATAAGTGAAATCATAAAACTGACCAACAAGCACCTGGGTCACTGTGTGTTGTTCGATAGGATTTTGAATCTTGTCACAATCGGCAAATACGGTTGGAACGATTGGTCTGAGTGAATCGATACAATCTTGATAGAACTGTGCCACCACGGTTAAACCCTGTTTGTTGTCTCGCTCAATTACGGGCCGTAAGGTGCCCTGCGCTTTATCGGCCAGACTATTGACAAACATCTCGATGTCTTTGACGTGAATCTGTTCATTAAAAACGTGCGGAAAGTCGAGGGGTGGGAGTTCTGGCATACATTGCACTGTAAAATTGGTTAATTAATAAGTGAGAGGGTATGAGTGGGTAAATGAGTGAGTGAGTGAGTGAGTGAGAGAGAGAGAGAGAGAGAGAGCATTAAATTAAATTAGTTTAACCATGCAAGTTAAATTCTTATACTTACCATTAGAAAAAACAAATGCAAAAACAATGCCAACTAATAATGGTTGAATATTAATGAAAAACATTACTATATTTAATCTTTAATTTAGTTTTAAATTAAAACTTAAAGTTTAATAATGCAAACTTATTTTTAAATTGATTAAATATAAATAAATTCATCAGTATTTATACTTATTTTGTTTTTAACATATCATGTAATTATTTACATTTCAAAATGAATTGATCAAATTTTAATTACTTTGTCGTGCGATTGTCCAACTGGTTTTGTACTTAAGGATTTATTTAGATTAATTTTTAAAATCAGATGTTATTATTTACAATGATGTTTTCCTTTAGTATTATACAATATATAAAACATATTTTAATAATCATAAATTAATAGTTTACTTTAATTTTAGATTAGAAAATCCCATAATTAACATTACTATTTATAATGCATACATGTATAGTATTATTGTTTTTAATATCTATTAAATAGATTCTATTTAATACAAAGGCTAAATTAATTTTATTTCTACTATCACATTTGTTTTTAAAATTTATGATTTTAGGAAATTTATCAGTGTTTAAGTTACCTATACAAAGTAATATCACGGATTATAAAATGCACTTGCTAGTGCAAATGTGCATCTGTTGGTTGTCATTTTCATTAATTATAATTACTAAATTTACTATCAATAATATTCAATATAACAGAATTAAAGTATATAAACACACGAGTTTACAACTGAATTTATTACAATCGGTTTGGATATAGTCAATTATCTAAATTATATTAATAAAAATGAATTTACTTATCAAAATAGTTTTTGGAATTTGTTTGGTTATCGTGCATGGTAAAATGCAATCTAAATATTTGTTAATAAATATAATTTTAATAAAACACGAGATGAACCCCCGCTCCCCCCGTTAATAAATTATTTGATGAAAAAACAAAGTTTAAAACAAATGTTTCAATAGTCTGTAATTTCATTTACTGTCTATTGTCTGTCTATTGATGAGTCAAATGTCAACTCAAATGAGTGCTAACCATTGACCGATGATAGGGTTGAAAGGCATATATGCACTGAAATCATATGCAAACACATCAAAAAAGCAATATA